CTTTGCTTCAGCCCTGGGCAACCTGATTTCTATTAGGATAAATGTTCCTATTCTGGACGTTTCATATAAATGGAGTCATACAATATATATGGTCCTTTGTGACTGGCTTTTTTCACGTAGCATAACATGTTCAAGGTTCATCCATGTTGTAACATGGATCAGTACTTTATTCCTTTTTAATGCCAAATAATATTCTCTTATATGGATATACCACCTTTTACTTATCCATTCAGCAGTTGGTGGACATCAGGGGTGTTACCACTTTGGGGCTATTATGAATAATGCTGCTGTGAACATTTATGTACAAGTTTTTGAGTGGAAATATGTTTTCATTTCTCTTGGGTACATACCGAGGAGCGGAATTGCTAGGTTATGTGGTAACTACTATGTTTAACCTTTAGAAGAACTGCCAGACTGTTTTCCAAAGTGGCTGCCACGTTTTTCATTCCCAGAAGCACTGTATGAAGAATCCCCCAGGTTCTGAACTCTAGGGAAAGTCCCCTCTTGGCAGGTGGGGCACCAGAGTCCCCAAAATCATTGCCAGGCCCACCCAACGCCACACGTTTTGAAAATCTGTGGTTGACACAGCTGGTTCACTTTCAGCTTGTTAAAAGGCCACAGGAGGAAAGGGTGTTCTTCACAGGGTTTTACTTAGTAAGAACCACCTGGACTCCGCCTGGTGTAGCCAAGCCTTTCAATCAAAAGGTCTGTACTCCAGTGTTTGGCTAAACGCTGTTTACTCACCTGAGGTGACATTTCTCCAAGCTGCCAAGCCTCACGCTGAACATGTTCTCCTCCGCAGGTATCAATTTTGCAGTGGCAATACCGCTAAAGAAAACCAGTTACATACCCTTCTCCCTTGTTAAAAATGTGTTGCTCCTGCCCTAACCGGTTTTGCTCAGTGAATAGAGTGTCAGCCTGCAAACTGAAGGGTCCCGGTTTGATTCGGTGAATGGCATGTTCCTTGGTTGTGGGCACATCCCTAGTAGCAGGAGAGAGCTGATCTATGTTTCTGACTCTCTATCTCCCTTCCAAAAATCAATAAAGTATATATTTTTTTAAAATGTGGTGCCCTCTTGTATCTTTGTGGCAATAAATTTTTAATGTCCTCGGGTTGACATTGAGGTATTAGTTTGACATCTTCTGGGTTCTGGGATCTCGATACCTTGGACCTCTAAGGTTTCAGACAAGGACCTATTTCACTGCCGCAGACCAGGCTTATGAATGCTGGAGAGTGCTTCCGAAAGAGAATTTTAGGAAACACAAAGAGGAAGGGAGAATGAAAGAAAATCCCCAGGTATGGAGCCGCTCTCTGTCCTGCTAGGAAGTAGAGAGGCCCCCCTAAAGGGAAGGGAGAGCTCCTTCTGCCTCATTTTCAGGACCTTGGGGTGTCACCTCATTCCCTTCGAGCACCCACCACACCTGTCACACAGCCTTTCAGGGAATTGCTAAATGAAGCCATTTCTTAATGCTTAGAATTAAATGGTGATGCTCCCACTCCTGCTCAACAGGCGAACCCTGCTCCACCATCCCCGGCCCTGAAAGTGACACCCTCCACCTCACCAGCCTATCCAACTCCCCGGGTTCCCAGGAGCGAGTGGGCAGGTTGGCCAGGGGTCAGTGGGAGGCCAGGGGCTAGGGCAGAGGCCAGGCTAGAAGGCCCACACGCCACACACATCACAGAAGGATGTTAGATGCATGCATATTTGCAAAAAGAAAATTTTGGAGACCATTTCTATGCCCATCAGCAGGGAGGAGCAGACCACATACATCCCTTGGTGGCATCTGTGAAGCCCCATGAGGATTAAAGGGTCTCTTTCTATACTATCTATAATAATAAAAGCATGATATGCTAATTAGATCAGAAGTCCTTCTGAATAACCTTCCGGGTGAAGCGGGGGCTGCAAGGGAAGCCTGGGTCCCGGGTGCCTGCTGGTGGCTGGAGGAAAGCTCAGGTCCTGGGTGCCAGAGGGAAGCCGGAGCCAAGAGCCAGGGGAAGGAAGGCCTACTCTTGCAAGAATTCCATGTTTTGGACCTCTAGTTAGACCATAAGATCCAAATTATTTTTATAGTGTAAAAAGCAAGGTAAGAAGGGTGCTCTGTAGGCTACCAGCTGTGGAAGTGGGGCTGGGGCATGTGAGATAGGTGCACACATATTGCTGGAAAAACCTCAAGTTGTTCCTGGGAGAGGAACTGGGGGCCTGGGGGCGAGGCTGGAAGAAGTACCTTGTGTAAGAATACTCTCTGGCTCATTTGCTTTGGATGCCATGTGCAAATTCATGTTTTTAAGGCCCTCACCCTCCTTGGGCTCAGAGGTACACATGCCACCCAGGCTGCTCTTCTATGGGGTCAGATCCCTCCCTCTACGACAGTGGTTCTCAACCTTCCTAATGCCCTTTAATACAGTTCCTCATGTTGTGGTGACACCCAACCATAAAATTATTTTTGTTGCTACTGTAAACAATATGTAATTATATATGTGTTTTCTGATGGTCTTAGGCGACCTCTGTTAAAGGGTCATTTGACCCCCAAAAGGGTCACGACCCACAGGATGAGAACCGTTGCTTTAGGATGTTAAAAGCTAGGCAGGCAACACATGGAAGTATGATGAGCTTTTCAAACAGGACATAACTGCATGGTCTACATTAGAACAAGCCACACAGGTGCCCTGAGAAAGATGGTGGCAAAGGACCGCAGGAGGGAGGTTTCAGACATGACCTGCAGCCAACTTGGCTCCAGCATTTTGCTGTTGTTATTAATCCTCATCTGAAGACATTTTTTCCTGTGATTTTTAGAGAGAGTGGGAGGGAGAGAGGAAAGGGGAGAGAGAGAGAAAAACATCCATATGAGAGAGATGCATTGAGTGGTTGCCTCTCTTAAGCCACCAACCAGGGCCAGGGATGGAACCTGCAACCCTTGTATGTGCCCTTCACCACGAATCTAACCCGAGACCCTTTGGTGCTCTAACCACTGAGAACACTGCCCAGGGGCCTGGGCTCTAGTCTTAAAAATCATTTCCAAAACGTGACCCCAGAACCCAGAGGATGGCAAACTAACACCTCAATGTCAACCTGAGGGCATTAAACATTTATTACCACAAAGATACAAGAGAGCACCACATTTTTTAAAAATATACTTTATTGATTTTTTTTGCAGTGTGGAAGGAAGAAGGATAGAGAGTCAGAAACACTGATCAGCTGCCTCCTGCTACTGGGGATGTTCCCACAACCAACTGCTGGAGATGTGCCCACAACCAAGGTACATGCCATTGACCGGAATCAAACTTGGGACGTTTCAGTCTGCAGGCCGACACTCTATCCACTGAGCCAAACCAATTAGGGCATGAGCACCACATTTTTAACAAGGGAGAAGGGACTGCAACTGGTGTTCTTTCACGGTGTCGCCACTGCAAAATTGATACCTGCGGAGGAGAACATGTTCAGTGTAAGGCTTGGCAGTTGGAGAAATGTCACCTCAGGTGAGTACACAGGGTTTAGCCAAGGCCTGGAGTTCAGACCTTTTTGAATGAAAGGCTTGGCTACACCATTCAGAGTTCATGTGGTTCTTACTAAGCAAAACCACTTAAAGAACACCCCCTCCTCCTGTGGCCTTTTAACAAGCTGAACGTGAATCAGCTGTGTCAACCACAGATTTTCAAAACCTGTGGCTTTGGGTGGGTCTGGCAATGAATTTGGGGACTCGGGTGCCCCACCTGCCAAGAGGAGACTTTCCCTAGAGTTCAGAACCTGGGGGGTTCTTCATATATTGCTTCTGGGAAGGGAAAACGTGGCAGCCACTTTGGGAAACAGTCTGGCAGTTCTTCTAAAGGTTAAACATATTGGTTACCACATAACCTAGCAATTCCGCTCCTCGGTATGTACCCAAGAGAAATGAAAACATATTTCCACACAAAAACTTGTACATAAATGTTCACAGCAGCATTATTCATAATAGCCCCAAAGTGGTAACATCCCTGATGTCCACCAACTGCTGAATGGATAAGTAAAAGGTGGTATATCCATATAAGAGAATATTATTTGGCATTAAAAAGGAATAAAGTACTGATCCATGTTACAACATGGATGAACCTTGAACATGTTATGCTACGTGAAAAAAGCCAGTCACAAAGGACCATATATATTGTATGACTCCATTTATATGAAACGTCCAGAATAGGAACATTTATCCAAATAGAAATCAGGTTGCCCAGGGCTGAAGCAAAG